TCGTTGAGAACCAAGAGGAGGACGGAGATGACAATGGCTCCTCGTAAGAATCCCGAAGAGGATCAACCCTAGGATCCAAATTCAATTTGTCGGATCTGGACCTGAAAAGGTTTGAGATTAACGAGAACCTCCCTTTCTTCTTGTTGAAAGATGTAGAGGCTGCAAAATCGATGGTGGTGGTATATGTAGGACCCACCTGAAGAGTGCTATGGAAGCGGAGGAGGTGGTGGTGGGGCCGAGAGACATCTCAACATCCATCTTAGCAAAAAAAAAAGCCACATCAAACGTGGAGGAGGGACAGATGAACAGATGAACGGATGAACGGACGGTTAAAAGTTAACGAAATGATGATGTCAGCCTTAACAGAGGGGCTGATTTGCCACTGCATATGAGTTGAAGGGTTGATTTGCGCATGAAGTGGGTTGAGGGGGTGATTTGCCACCAGTCAGTGAGTTAAGGGGATGATCTGCATGTTTTGCCTCTGTTTTTCGTAGTGATATTAAATTCAATTAATTTAAAATTAACTCACATAAAATTTTATTTAATTTTTTTTAATGTTTATTTTTATATTTATAAAATTATATTTAATATTTTATTTTTATTTTTTTATCCATCACAATCCAAATTTAACATTTTTTTATAAGAGTAATGATTAGAAAATTAGTAAATTAGTTGTTAGCAACTTATTCTTAGATTTGGTGAATATTTCACCTCATTTGAAAGACGCATGGTCATCATGTTCTTTTTTAGTGAAATTTACCATGGTGATGGAGTTCAAAACTCCAACCATCTTACTCAAACACTTAAAATTTAAGATCCAATCATTAAATTTAAAGTTTCGATTCCAAATTTAACACCTTATCTAAAATAAATCGAGTCTCTTCCGTCAAACAAACAGATTATTGATAAATGAAATTAGTTTTGATCACTTGAAAATTGGATCGGGGAGAGCTACCAACTGCAGGCTGCAGCTAGTTGAGAGTGACCTCTTCTCTGCCCTCGATTTTGATTCGGTCTGCTGCGTCAGTGTACGTAAGATTATGATGGTACTTAAAATTTCTTTAATTTTTTTAACCGGGGAATCTTCGGATGAAAATTTATAAATTTGAAAGGAAATATTAGAAGAGTATTAGTAATTATCTGTGGTATTTTTTAAATATTAGGGAAAAAATTATATTAAAATTATGTAATTTTAATAAAATATTAAAAAAAATAAAAAATATTTAAATTTATATTTTAAAAATAAAATATTTTAATTTTTTAATAAAAATTTATTAAAATGATATAATTTTAAAATAATTTTTTTAATTTTTAAAAAATAAAATAAATAAATATTATTTTTAATTTAAAAAATAAAGAAATGTGTTGTAATTTTTCATTGTGTTAAATTATAAAATATTAATAATTAAATAATAAGTTATTTTATTATAATAAGTGAAGATCCCCATATTTAATAGTTAATATTTTATACTAACGATATATTAATTCAAGTGATGAAAAATTCGTTTTTTTTAAATAAAATTTTAAATTCACATTTTAATAAATATAAAGACACAAACTAAAAAAAACTTCTCTTACAAGTTTGAACCAACTCAACCTAACTTGATTTTAAATTAATTAAAACCAAATATGACTTTTAAATATTAAAAAATTAGTTTAAAAAATATTTAATGTTTTACAATTAAAATTAAAAAATACCAAACATCTATATTATAATCAATTAAATGTTAAATCTTCTAATAAGTAATTATTGTATTGAAGCATATTAGATTTAAGATTCAAATTTAAAAGTATAGTTAATTACAAAATAATTCTTGATTAGTTACCCATGTATAGAAGATAAATAAATTTAGAGATATCTAGTTAAAATAAATGTATATTCTTAAAATTATTATATAAAAAATTACCCTTAAACTATGTATAAGTTGAGTCGAAAACAATTAACTACAAAAAGTCATACTAGTCTATATATTTCAAAGGAAAATTTGGGTACGGATATTTTATGATCCATTTTCCCTTGCTCAAGTTTCTTGTTCGTTAAACTTCATTCAAAAGTAGAATCGTTTAGAGACAAAAATAAGATGTTATTGTTCCACATTTTACCTCTCGCATTCCCCTGCTTTTAATATCAAGATTGAGTGTTTGTGTATTATGGTTTTTTTTTTTTTTACTTAGTAATTTTTTCTTTTAGTTTGGATTATTAGGGTTTCTTTGAATCAATCTTTATTATAATTTGATATTACTTTTCTATGAATAATCTTAGGAACACATTTCACAATTATTGGTAATTTTAAAAAATTAATTTTTAAATATTATTTTTAAAATTTAAAATTTAATTTTAATTTTTTTATGTTAATTATACAATAAAAAATAACTATTTCTCATCTTTTATCTCATTTTATTCGTATATTATACTATTCAAACTTAAAATTTCTTAACAAATAAAAAATCATTATTAAATTATTTAAAGTCGTTAACACTAAATCACCGATTAATTAGCATTTTGTTGTCCTTTTCTTCATTACTTCAAGTGGCCCACCCTTTCCTAATCGCAACAACTTCAAACAATCTCCTGCCCACAGATTATTATGTTGACGACGCTTTTCAAATCCATTTGCTTTCAGCACGAGGCAACAACCAAGGTAACGGTTATATTCTAACTATATTACCTATTTGTTGATGGTTGTTTATTTTAAAATATTAAAAATAACTATTAGTCAATTCTAATTTAATAAATTAAATATTTTAAATTATATATAATAATTATTAATTATTAAATATCAATTATTAACTATTAATTACATAAATATTTTTATTCTAATCCAAAACACCCCACTAATAATATATCTATTTTTTTATTTGTCATTTGATTTTTTTTTTCTTTGAACAAGGGTAACATGTGGGGGGTTTTAGAGGGAAAGGGAATAAAGAGAACTCAAATACGAGAGTAATAAAATTCTCTATATAAAGAGTGATTATTTATTCTATTTAAGTCTTTTTTATTTATTAATTTCTTTTTTTAAAAAAAAAGGGTATGACACGAACCCATTCTTATAAAAGGATGGGTGGTCACTAAAACACCAAAGACTTCCTTGTTTATCAATTGATTTGTTTGCATATAATTTTGATTAATAAATGTAGTTAAATGAAACAACTCTTAAAAGAAAATTGTAATTATCATTCCTAAAATATCTAAGATATACACAGGAGAGTAAAACATTAGCAAGAAAGGGCCTTAATTAATCCACACCCTGCACATGAGAAACGGGCAGTACTTTCAACGCGGTTTTAATTTTGGTATCTTAGTCAATTTCTGGTGATCAATTTCAGTTGCGGAGGTTACATGCCGCTGCAACCTGCGAACTCTACCTGCCTAGTACATCACTCCTGATCCTTGTAATGATTTTCTTGCTGATGCAAAAGGTTAATACGGTCCTTTCCCTCTAAAATTATTTATTCACTTAAAAAAATTTT